TTAGCCCCGCCTCAGTCAAACGCTGCGTGAGAACGGTCTGTCGCCTCTCGCTGCCTTCCGGGCCCAGGCTGCTTCGGCCCCGCGCCGCGTCCCCGGTGCCCAGGGTGCCCTGCTGGGCTGACCGGCGCCCCCGCCCGCAGTGGAGGAGGGCCACGAGGGCCTCACGCACTTCCTGATGAACGAGGTGATCAAGCTGCAGCAGCAGATGAAGGCCAAGGACCTGCAGCGCTGCGAGCTGCTGGCCAAGTCGCGGCAGCTGGAGGACGAGAAGAAGCAGCTGACGCTGACGCGCGTGGAGCTGCTCACCTTCCAGGAGCGCTACTACAAGATGAAGGAGGAGCGCGACGGCTACAACGACGAGCTGGTCAAGGTCAAGGACGACAACTACAACCTGGCCATGCGCTACGCGCAGCTCAGCGAGGAGAAGAACATGGCGGTGATGCGCAGCCGAGACCTGCAGCTCGAGGTGAGGGCGCCGGGGAGCCGCAGCGCGCATGTGCGCAACCGCCTGCTCCACCCACAAGATGCACTGCGCATGTGCAGAGCTCAGCCGCCCGCTGGCCTCGCGCTGCGCATGTCCGCACATGCGCACCCAGAGCCGCTGGGCTTGCTCTGAGCATGTGCAAACGAGAAGTTGAGGCCGTGCCCACGGTGGGCGCGAGGGGAAGTGGGAGACGCAGGGTGCCGGGCCCTGACTGTCAGGAAAGTTGAGGAAACGAAGAAAGCTGAGTCCTGCGGGCACAGCCCCGTGGGAGGCTCGCAGCTCAGCGTGGTGCCCGTCCCGGCGGCGTGCCCGTGAGCGGCCACCACCCGGTCGGGGACACCGCGCGGAAGCCGGCCCCCAGAACGAGAGCCGGAGGACCGTGTGTCTTCCCGGGGCCGCGGGCTCCCTGCCAAGGATGCGGGCTGCCCTCAAGTCCACGTGGCCGGAACGCAGCCCCTGGCTGAGGGCCGCCCGGGAGACGAGGGGTGCGGGGAGGAAGGGCGGGGCGCGGTGGAAGGAAGGGGTGCCGGGAGGAAGGGCGGGGTGGGCAGTGCAGGGCGCGGGGTGGGCGCTGTGACCACGGTGGGCGCAGAGGCCGCAGTGGGTGCGGGGTGGGCACGGTGGCCGCAGTGAATACGGGGTGGGCAGTGCAGGGCGCGGGGTGGGCGTGGAGGCCACAGTGGGCGCGGGGTGGGCGCTGTGATCGCGGTGGGCGCAGAGGCTGCAGTGGGTGTGGGGTGGGCGCTGTGACCACGGTGG